CCCGCCCTTGCTACCCGCCATTTTGCCTTACTTGCCAAGTTGAAAAACCTTTAAATATAAAATTTAACTTTAATAAACTTTGATTTCATCCATGAGTAAAATCAAGAAATTATATTTGGAAAATTTTTATCAAATTTGCTCATTCTAAAATTCATAGTTGAAATATTAAGTCTTAAGATTATATTTTATTTTTGGTTTTTTTTTTTTTTTTTTTTTTTAAAAAACGCGTCATTTGACGTTAAAAATAAACGAAAGGGGTTTTGTTTTATGTTGTACAAAACATATCCACCTGTTGAGAGTACGAGTTGCATGTTTTTTTTTTTTTTTTTTTTTTTTTTTATCGCGTATACTATCAGAAATTAGTCCGGTTTAAATTTATGCCTTTTATTTATGGCAATCTTCGTTTTTTTTTATTCGTATTCGAAGGCGTAGGGGAATTTTATGGTTTTTTTATTTATTTATTTGACCTATTAAATTAATTATTGTATTTTAACATCGTCAATTTTCTAATTGCGCCATTGGAAAAATTTTCATTTTGTTTAAAAAAAAAAACAAATTAATAAAACGAAATTTTATAATTTTTTTTTTTTGTTTGTGTAATAATCGATCAATATTTTAAATTTATAATTAAATTGTTTAATCGAATAAGATGGGGCTCGTTCTTGGTTGAAATTATTTTTAATGTCGTTTGCATAGAAAATTTCTTAAATTTGTTTAAATTTCTTAAATTATATTATAATTAAATAATTAAATGATATGTATTAAAGGTTAAATTAGTTCCCCCGAGTTAGTGTTGGCCGAGAAAACAAAAACCGCTTCTTTATCATAATTTCAAGTTTTTTTTTTAAAGAACGAATAAAATTGACCTGAAATAAATTGAAATTGAATTGAAATTGCTTTTTTCATATTCATAAGTTGTATTGGATTACGATTTGTTTTTTTCTTAATTCAAGTTTTTAACGAAAGCTTAATTTGGGGATTGTTTTCTTATTGTTTTGGGGCCCGAGATTGAACCGAAATGGGGGGAGGGAAAAAAAAAATAATAATAATAATTTTTTTTAAAGGTTTGAAAAAATTAAAATTAAACCCCATATAATAATCCCTTAGGGTCAAAGTCAGGAAAAAAAAAAAAAAAACGTCGTTTTTGATATTTTTTTTCTTTTTTTTTTTTTTACGTCTAGAGTTAATTACGAGAAAAACCCTTAATTTAAAAATTATAAAGGTCGATTTTATGTTGGTTTATGTCGTGGTGGTGGTTGACTTTTGAATTTTTTTTTTTTTTTTTTTTCGTGTGACAAACAAGACAACGTGTGACGTACGTTAGACGTACGAGAAAAGCAGAAGAAAAATTTTTTTGTCGTTATATAAAAATTGTTTGTCGTTTAAATTTTACCTGTTTGTTGAAAAAAAAAAAAAATTTTTTCCTTATTGTTTTTTTATTATTTTGATCGTGATTGTTGCTGCCACTTTATCAATCGAATAAAATCGAAGAAACGATGATTACGTGTGTTAATATTTCCGTATATTTCAAATTTTAAACTCTTAATTAATGAGGATTTATTACTTTATTAAATAAACAAATTACGAAAATCAAGATATTTTTTTTTTTGTTAAAAATTCATTTTCTGCCATTTTGAAAGCAACCGTTGTCAAGCAAAAAAAAAAAAATTGTTAAAGCGTTCGCGTCGTATCACGTTGAACGGTTCATTTGGTTGTTTTCATTGAAGATTTTGCTGTCTTGCGAACAACAATGCAGGTTTTTTTTTTTCTATTTTTTTTTATTTCGGTAATTTTACAAAAAAAAAAAGAAAAAAAATTCATCACATTTTTAAATATTTCACGTGACTTTCTTAAAATCGTGTAAATAGAATTTTCGCATCACGTTTGTTTTTTTGTTTTTTAAGTGGAATCGACGAAAAATTGAACCGACTTTGACTGAAAAATTTTCTATATAGTGATAAATAAAATAGAAATAGTGATTTTGTTTTAATAAATTTAAAATAAAATAAAAAAAAAAAATAATAATAATAATAGTGTTAGTAGTAGTAGTAATAGTTGTTTTATTTATTAAAACTTTTTTTGACATGTGTTTTTTGTTATTGTTGTTGTTGTTTATTTTGTTTTATTACGACTCGCAATAATATACTTTTGCCCCATATCCGTACATCGTTAACTGAAAATAAGTGTCGCGTTTTTACAAAAAAAAAAAAGTGAAATTAAAAATTTTTGGCAGCCATATTCGCAAACGAAACGAAACGAAAAAATTATTTAATTTAATTTAATTAGAAGTTAAACTGTTTATATAAAAAAAATTTTTTTTTTTTTTCTGGCAGTTATCTTTCCTGTCAACCATTCACCGTAAAATATTCGCGTTTTTTTTGGGGGGGGTTTTTGGTTTTTGTTTAGCAATTAGTTTCATACTTTATGTGTATAAATGATTAACGATCGATTCATATTGACAGATCATCATCCGTTTATGACGTTTCAAATTTTTTTTTTTTTTTGACCCCTTCTTCATCCTTATTTTCTCTATGTTCCTCCACATACACCTACTTGTTGTTACCGCCGCGGGTAGATAGAAAGAAAGAAAAAAAGGGGGGGGGAAAAATGTAAAATTGACGAATTGCAAATGTGGGATTTGGACTTTTGAACTCTTAGCAATTTATTTACAATTTGATTTTATACATTGATGGCGGCGTCTAACTGCCCCTAGTTCGTCTGTCACGTTTACAAACAACCGAAAGGTGTTTACAGACTCTTCGCACATGCACACAAACAAAAACACACGCACACGCACGCACACACCCGCACACATATTTTATTTTTATTTAATTTTCATAAAATAAATCAGTGGGTCAAAATGACGACAATATTTTATATTGGCCAGATATTTATTGTTTTTTGTTGTCAGTCATTATTACTACGGAAATAAATCCATGAATTTTTAAATTAACTAAGAAGTTTTGTTTCTTGTTTCACTTACGATTCACTTAAACTTTTTTTTTTCCGTTAGAATGACGACGACGACGATGATGTAAGTTCGAAAAAAAAAAAAAATTTTTTTCTATAAAAATGTCTGCGTCATAACGGGAGTGAAAATATGTTTATTTATTGTAATTATCGATCTTTTAAATGGTGCAGAATTTCTTCTTCTCTTTTTTTTTTTTTGTATCGGCGTAAAAAAAAAAATAAAAATTACCAACTCGTTTTGTTTTTTTATTAATTAAACGTGGCGTATATTTAACTTATTTAAATAATAAAAAATTTTTATTTTTTTTTTCGTACGAAAACAAAAGAATAGCCGAAAAATCGGAAAAACAAAACAGATAGAAAATTATGGGAAAAGCGTGGGATTGTATTTTGTTAAAAGAAATAAAAACAGGAGCGGCATTCGTTTATATTAAATCTCACAAATTTTTTTTCGAAATTTAAATTTAAATTTAAATTTAAATTCATTTCGGGATTTAATCGTCGAGGATTGAAAAAAAAAAAAAAAAAAATTATTTACTTGTCGAACGGTTAAATAAATAATAATAATTAATTTGAAGTTTTCTTTTTTTTATTTTAAATTGAAAACTGACGTGAAAATTTTTCTTTGATCGTTTTTTTTTTTTTTTTTTTTCCAAAAAAATTCATTTGAAAACCGATGAAATTGTTTGAAGAGTTTAAAGCAAAATAAAAAGTTGTTTCGCGAAAAAAAAAATATATTTTTTTTTTTTTTGAAAACGTTACCGAATGCTGCGCAATCGTTCGTACAAACAAGTGGTTCCCCCCAACACTTCGAATCAGGTGGTTTTAAATTTTTTTTTTTTTTCTTTATATTTTCACTTATGTAAGGTTTTATCGCGAGAAAATTTGTTGAACGTTTTCAATTATCGAATAGGGTAAAGAGAAATTTTTGAGAACAATTGAAATTTTATTCGGTCAAAATAAAAATGTCGTCGATTGTCATTCATCGGAGAATGTAATAATAACAAAAGAAAGCAAAGATAAAAATTATTGGGCATTCTTTCAATGAATATGGTATATTTTTCATCGAAAAAAAAAAAAAAAACCCTCATATAAATGCGCTGCCTTATCTGGGACCCATTTAAAAATTGTTTTGTTATTTATTTCTGACTTGTTATGTTCATGCGATAATATTCATTATATCTCTTTTTCTATCTCTTTTTTTTGGGGGGGGGTAAAAAAAAGCGTCATCGAATAAATCCTTTTTTTTTCTTTTGTTCTTTAGTTTCCATTAATGTCGGTCGCGAAAAGAAAATCAAAAAAAAATTGAAATTAAATAAAAGTTTGTTTATTTATTTATTTTTTCGGTTCATAGCTCGCCAATATTTATATTTTATTTTTTTTTTTTTTTTTGTTTTTCTGGCAAATTGACTCATTCTATGGATTAAAATTTTCCCTGGTAATTTTTTTTTTCAATGGTTTTCCCTGGCAGTCCCTCAATCATTTCGTTTTTCTTTAGGATGACTTGGTTCCGCCACTGAAAATTTATTCTATTTTTCTTTTAACTTTTTTATTTTATTTTTTTTTTTTTCGTGTTGAAGCCTACGGCGGTTGAGTTATTCCCTTTTAATCTCTGCCAAAAGCGGATAAATTCGATTCGTATAAAAAAAATACTGATAAAATTGATATAGATTTATATAGATGGTTGTTTGGTTGTTTAGTTTTATTATTCTATTTTTTGATATTTATTTGTTCAAAAAGATTATAAAATAGGGGTAACAAGTTTTTATATTTTCTATTATTATTATTATTATTTATATTTTATTATAGTGAAAAGGATAAATTTGACATTTTAGAGTTGACATTTAAGTTGAGAATAACGTTTGCATTGTGTTTTCGAAACGGAAGAGGAAAAGTGTTTTCAAGTTTTAAACTTTATAAAAAAAAGTTATTTATTATTATTATTATTATTTTAATTTTGTGAACCGGTACTTAAAAGGATATATACATATGTACGTACTTAGATTATAAATATAATGTGATCGATCAAAATGTTGGACAGTAAAATTCGTGAATGTCCTTTGTCGCAGGGATTAGATACGTCATTGATTCCATGGCCTGGAATGAAATATGCTTGCGTTCGAGTTTTGGAATTGTATTGTAAAGTTTTTAATCAAACACAATTGTATCATTTAATTATCAGGTACGATATTTTTCAAATCGATAAGAAACGAAATAATAATGCGAATAGTTTTTCTCTCTCTCTCTCTCTCTCGTAAAAAAAAAATTATTATTATTGTTATTATTATATTACGTTACGGTTATTTATTTGTGTTTTGTGATGATTTGATTGATTTATCGATTTAGTTATTGGTAATAATTTAAAAAAAAAAAAAAAAATTACGCGCGTTATTACGCAGATGTTGTTGTGAAAATTAAATAAATAATTTTACGTTTTGATTTAATTTTAATTTTTATTTTTTTCTTTTTGTTTTGTTTTCTAACAGATAAATAGAAAATTTAATATGTTTATAAATGAAATAATGTTTTTTTCTCTCTTTCTCTTTCTATCTCATTTTCTGTCTGTATATTTTTGCTTTTTTTACTCTTTGCCCCGAATCGTTTCGTTCAAATCGAATGTTTTCTTTTTTGATGTTTTATTCGGGGGGTATTGGTAAATAAGAAAAAAAAAAAAAAACAAAACTACATTATTCAAAATAAAAATTTTTCTTTTTAAAAAAAAAAAATTTTTTTTTTTATGACCGTTTTATTATTTGTTTACGTAGATTCACCATTAGCTAAAAAGCACTTTGCTATATTATTATTTACTTATGTATGACGTACATAAATTAAATTTATTTTTAAAATGAAAATATCGTGGGAAAAAAAAATATTTTTTTTTTTTTGTTTATGACGTTCTCCTCTTCTCCTCTTTAAACATAAAGAAAAATCGGAAAAATTGTAGAAGAAAAAAAAAGCCGGTAATAAATTAAAGTTTAATTAAAAAGGCACCATTATCATCATCATCATACTCATTGCTGAGATTAAATAAGAAAATTTCACGTTTAATTTAAAAGGGGAGGAAGAACAACAAAAAAACATTATTATTATTATTATTATTTTGATTTGACCGCAAGAATAAATCGTTTGGAAAAAAATAATTTTCTCTCTCTCTCTCTCGTTGCAAATAGAGACGGTTATTCATTTTAATTTAAATTTTTTTTTTGCGGGCACGTAATGTAATAAAAAAAAAATGCGAAACCCACTTGAAATTTGTAAATGTACCGTAATAAAAAAATTATTATTATTTTTTTTGTTTCTGCTTCCACGTTGACTAAGACGCCCAAATTATAAATTCCGGTCGTCGTAATGATTTGATTGATTAGAATAATACTGGTACCACGACATTATTATTTCTCTCTCTCTCTCTCTCATTTTTAACTTTATGTACGTACTGATATCTTGTCTGCTATAGATAGGAGATTGTTGTTGTCGAAAACTAAAACTGATAAGAATTTTGGGTAATAAAAATGAAATTGCTAACAAAAAATTAGTTATACGCCGCCATTGATTGATATGTGAGAGTTTAAGGACAAAGTGCAGATTTTTTTTTTATTTTAAAAACCCTAAGAGTGTTTGTTTTACTTACTAAATTTTTTGTTGGTGGTGACACTGAATTTCATTAATTTATTTTTTTAAAATATGTTCTTAATGGATTTTTTTTTTTTTTTTAATAATTAACAAAAAAAAAACAATTATATTAATCACCACGCCTTAAAAAAAATTTTTTTCGTGACATTGATTTTTTTTTTTACCTTTTCGGATTTTTTTTTTGTGGGTAAAAATTACATTTTGACCATTAGTGCCACATTAATGTCATTAGTTACATGGGTTAAGATATAAACCCCGTAAGGAGAAAAAAAGGTTACCGAAGCCTTTGCAAATTTACTTAGGGATGAATAATAATTTGCAGGGTTTTCATTTTCCCCCATTTTTTTTTTTTTTTTTTTTTTATATAACGAACGTATTAGATTTCGAGAGTGCGTCCATTTTTTTTTTTCTTTCTTTCTTTATTTTTATATTATCAAGAGCGAACAGTAAAATGCTTTTAGTTAAAATTTATGTTTGTTTGTTGACGAGTTTGATTTTCCTTTTTACCATATTAATTTTTGCCATATAATTTTGTGCGATTGTTTTCTTTTATTAACCCCCCCATTCTTTTGTTTTTTTTTGTTATTTGTGTGATCGAAACAGGTTTTAAATTTTGGGTTTGATTAATGAACTTTTTACCAAATTTGTTTTTTAATTATGTCGTCTGCTTGATTTTTTTTTTTATCGAAATTAAAAATAATGGCGCGCAAATTTTATTTTAATGTATGGCGTGTACTCTCACAATATTGAATTCACGAAACGAGATTTTACAAATGGTAGTTAATCAAAATCTTTTAATTAATAATTGTTGTTGTTGTTGTTGTAATTACCGCCGGATGACAAAAAAAAAAGAAAAGAAAAATTATTAATTAATGTTAACACGCGGGTATTCCCATTTCTTTAATTAAAACAAAAAAGAAAAAAAATCCGCGTTCGTTGCTTTTTAATTTTTTACGTACATATTTATTTATTTATTTATTTTTTAAACAAGAGCCGGTTAAGATTTAGTAAGATGTGTGCGTGTGTGTATTTTAAATTTAGCGCCGTTGTTGCTTTTTTTTCCTCTCTCTCTTTCCATCAACTTTTTAAATTTCCGATTGTAAATAAAAAAAAAAAAAAAATGGGTAATCAATCAATCGAATACGTATATATTTAGATTTTTTTTTTTTTTTAGAAAAATTAATTTGCGATTCTTTAAGCAATTACGTGTGTTTGTTTGCTTTTAATGGATTCGAATGTTACTTTTCTCTCTCTCTCTCTCTCTCTCTCTCTCTCTCTCTCTCTCTCGAATCTTTTTTAATTTATATGCCAAATTATTATTAATTATAATAGATATTATAATTTCAAGAGCCGTTTTTTTTTTTTTTTTTTTAGATTCGCATAAATCCGGTATTTTAATTTTTAAAGTTTGTCGCAGAAGGTTTTTATGAATAACAAACAATTATTAGTAATCCTTTAATATTTATTTATTTATTTATTTAAACGTTGTTGTCGGAGCGTATCGTTAAGAAAACAACAACAACAACAACCGAAAAACAAAAACGATCGCGAATGAACAAAAATAAAAATAAAATAAAAATTTTTTTGACGGTCGAGTAACGGCAAATTGTCAAAGTTCGATTAATTTATTCATTTTTTTTTTTTTTTTTTTTTTTTTTTTTACGGTTGGGTTCCGCGAGATTAATTTAATTCATTCAGGTATTTTACGGGACGTTTTTGCGAAATTAATTATTATTATTATTATTATTATTTACCAGTAATTAATAAAATGTTTTCTTTCGGGGCAAACCTTGAAAAAAAAAAAAAAAAATTTTTTGTCCTCGCGCGTTTTGCCCTCGCTTTTTTCTCTCTCATTAAAACATAAATTTATTAATTAAAAGAATTTCCTTTTTATTTGTTGTTGTCTGGGGGGGGGAGAGGGAGGGGGCGGGGAAGGAAAAACAAAACTTTTCATATGATTACCTCCTACAATAATCTCAATAAGATGAGTGTTCACAAATAATTTTCGAAATGTTTTTTTTTTTTTTCAAGAGTTTTGTTAACAAATCATCAACTCCTCCTTCGCAACCTGATGCACCTACTGTTTTTGTTTGTTTGTTTGTTTGTATGTGCGTGTGTGCGTGCCCTCTCTCTCTTTTATTTTTGATGCGTGTGCCAACGTAGATTTTTTTTTTTTGACTTTTCTTTTACTTGATAGTCCAACCTACTTTTTGTTTAGTGACCCTTGTTTTTTTTTTTTTTTTTTTTTCTCAAAACATTTTCCGGTTGTTTGTCTTTACTTTAAAATTTTTTTATATAAAAAGGTTTAATGTTTTGTTTATTGTACCGTTTTCCAAACTGTTAACATTAAACGAATTAACCAAATTTTTTTTTTTTTTTGATTTATTTAATAAAAAAAAAAATTTTTTTTTTACTTCCTTTCTCTTAAAATAATCCAAAACGTTACGTGTGACTGTTATGTTCCAAATTTCAAAGTAACATAGCGTTAGGTGTTTTTTTTTTTTAATATCTGCGGAAGATGTACATCATTTCCCCTCCCCCTCCCTATATTTCTGTAAAAACATTTTGCAATTTTTCCTTTGTTAATATTTGGGGGTTTTCCGTTATTTGAATTCCCAAAAATTTTTAAAAAAAAAAAATTTTGTTTGCAGGAAAAAGGGGGGGGGGGACATTTTTTTTTTTTTAATTATTTCCCGTAAAAAAAAAAAAAAAAAAAAAAAAAAAATGTTGGAAAATTGTAAATGTCAAATAATACCGATCGAAATAAAAGGATTAAATTACATAAGTACGAATGCATTGAAATTATATTGTAAAATTTTCGATATAGATTTAAATAAAGATTGGTAAGTTAAAGTGATAAGGGAAAAGGGGAAGGGAGGGGGAGGTGAAGGGGAAACAAGGAATAAAATGAAATAATTTTAAATTGTATTTTTTAAAATGTTGCATTTGAAATGAAAACTATAATTTTATTTTATTTTATTTTTCGTATGATTTCAGGAAAACGTGCAATAGTTGCAAATGCCCTCGAGAATCTCATGATGTTTACCACAAAGAATGGGTTAACGTACGAAATAGATTGGGTTTTGATTCGCCCATGGATTCGGCCAAGGTGGATAGTAAAGAAAAAAGCTTTAGAGAAGGTTACGCGTGGGTCCCATCAGGTTTACCCTCACACAAGGTTCGTATAACGAATTAAATTTCTCCCTTTTTTTTTTTTTTTTTTTTTTTTTCTATTTGTAACAGAGTCTAATGTTCATACGAAAAAAAAAAAAAAAAAAAAAAAAAATTTAAGATAATTATTATCGTTATTATTATTATTATTATTAGGATTTGTTGTTGATAGCGCGTCCAATGATAAAAATAACATTTTAAATGTTAAAATTTACAATCGATTGTAAAAAAAAAAAAAAAAAAAAGATTTAAATTTATTTAGCAGCCGACCCAAACAATAACAATCCAACCGAATTTTTATAACTTTTGGTTGTTTTGTTTGTTTGTTTTTTTTGGGAAATTTCATGCCGTTGTAATCATTATTTTCATTTTCAAAATATTATTTTAAGAAAAAAAAAAAAAAAAAAAAAGGAAAAGTTTTTATTGGAAAACATTATAAATTGTGTGTACCTTTTTTTTTTTTTTTTTTTTTTTTTTATGAATCATTATTTTTCCAAGAAGAAAAAAAACGTTAATGTTTTTTTTTTTTTTTTTATTAAATTGGCAACAATGATCGTGGCAGTTCCTTATTTTTTTTTTTTTTTTTTTTTTATTATCCGTAATAATAAATATTTAAATTAAATTTCTAAGTCATTACTATCTGATTTCGAACGTGCTTGTACGAATGTTAATTTTTTTTTTTTTTTTTTTTTCATTTTGAAAAACTGGTTTTTATTTAATTTTTTTTTTTTCCAAAGAATTTTAGCCTTGAATTACGTTATGTTGGCCCTTCGGGCAAAAGGGCCTGCACTCACACTCACACTCACAAGCGCATACACTTTCTCGGATACTTTTTTTTTTTTTTGTAATCATTATTATCATATTATTTTAAATCTTGCTCTAAGGGTTTGTTTGTCTGGTGCGTTTTATTCTGTATATTTTAAAATTGTCAAATGAAATTGTTTTTTTTTACGTTTTTGAAACATGTCAGATTTTAAAAATATTTTCGTTCGTTTTACTTTTCATCATTCACTCTCTGACGCCATGTTTCTCTTTTTTTTTTTTTTTTTCGAAAAATAATGATAATAATAGTTGGTTTATTTCTTGTACAAATAAATTTTTTAATTATTTTTTAATAGTTTTTTAAATTTTATTTTACATACATCCTTCGTCAAAACGTCCAATTTTTTTTTTTTTAAGAATAACTATCAACATAAAATTTTCAAATCGAATAAATGCTAATAATAATAATAATTATTATTATTATTATTATTTGACTAAATGCCATAAATTGAGCAATCTTTTTTTTTTTTTGTTTGCTTGTGAAAAAAAAAAAAAGAAATGGTGGATGGTTGGTAATAAAAGTAAAGAATAACAAGCACGATTTAAATTAATTATTTTTTTTTTTTTTTTTTGGGGAAATAAATGTCGAATAAATTACAAATTTAATAATAATAATAAAAATAAAGATGGGGTATATTTTATAAAATTAATGCATTTTACAAAAAATTGAACAAATTTGAAAAATGAAAAAAAAAAAAAAAAAAAAAAAGTTTCGTAAATCAGATTTAAGAAAAAAAAAAAAAAAAAATTATTCACGGTTTTAAATTTTAAATATTGGCAATTTCAACTTTCTAATTTTTCTATTATTATGTATTTATTTATTTTCTTTATTATTATTATTATTATTTTATTTTTGTATAGATCTCAGAATATTTTCAACAAATTCCGTCGTCAAAAGTGCCTCGTCTCGGTTCACCCGGTGAAAAATATAGAGACAAGCAATTGATACTTCAACTACCCAAACAAGATTTGGCTCTTGCTTATTGTAAACATATCGAAAACAGTCAGCAATCTTGCTATGAAGATTTTATAAATGCGAGAAACGAAATAGCTTTGGATATCGGATACGTTAAAGACACCATTTCTGCATCCACGGTATTTATTTATTTATTTTTTATTTTTTATTTATGGGTCATCAAATCAGGTTTTTCAGAAACTTCAACCCTAAGTTTTTTTATTTTTACGTTTTAAATTTGGATTATGACGATCGTTCGCAAACTCAAAAAATAGTTCATGGAGTAAAATTGGTCGTCGATTTATTTATTTATTTATTTATTTTTTGTTTGTTTTGTTTTTGATCGGTAAAAATAAAATAAAAAAAAAAAAAAAAACAATTTAAAATTAATTTTTATGGGGCAAACACGTGCGAAAAAATTGGCATCAGAAAAAAAAAAAAAAAAAAAAAAAATTAATGAAAAGAATATTAAAGCCGGGATGGAAAATAGAAAAAAATTTTACCAACAGCCCTGAAGTTACATTCACGTCACATTGCTCTAAGCGAATAAAAAAAATTAAAATTATTTTGTTAATAATAATAATAATAATAAGTAAAATGCAATTTTATTAGTTCGCCAACGCCATTATAAATTGAGAGAAAATGTTTTCTAACCGAACTACTGCGGTTTTATTACTTTAAGGAAATGTTTTTTTTTTTTTTTTTTTTTTTGTTTGAGTCAAAATCTTTTATCGTTGATGATGTGAGAGCAAAGTTAAAATTCATGTTTTTTTTTTTTTTTTTTTTTTACCGAAATCGATTTGATATTTTTTACAAAAGAGAAAAAAGAAAGAAAAAAAACTAAAAAATAATTATGTTTTGTTTCTTAGAATAAGAAAACCTCAATTTGAATCACATCATGTTTGGTTCTTGATGAATTGAGTCATGTACCGGTTTGGTACGTGAGATAATTACGTTATCATAAATAAAATAAATAAATAAATTTGAGTTACAGAAAATTTGGATTTATGCAAAATGTTAAACTCGAACGCCTTACCAAAAGTCTAAAATAAAAAAAAAAAAAAATGAATATTTTCAGTTTCTTTTAAAATTATAATTACCATAATTATTTATTTATTTTTAATTTATTTTTTTCTTTTTTGTTGAAGGAATGTCCTACGTGTCATCATTTTATTAAACCCGGAGATTTAGGAGTTGTCGCTCCAAAATTTGGAGAAGATGTTGTTTGGCATCCCGGATGTTTCGTATGCAGCGAATGTAACGAAATTTTAGTGGATTTGACGTATTGCGTTCACGACAATTTATTATACTGCGAAAGACATTACGCGGAACAACTCAAACCGAGATGTGCCGGTTGCGACGAGGTGAGTTTATTTCCTCTCTATTAATTATTATAATAATAATAATAACGACGACGACGATAAATAAATAATCTGTTAAACGTAAACGATCGTAATCGGTTGACAAAAAAAAAAAAAAAAACTTAATTCGTATTCGGCCCCCCTTTTATTAAATATTCAAAAAAAATAAATAAATAAGGTTTTATTGGCTTGAATTAGATTTTTATCGAAGGAAATTATATGTGATCAATTTTTTAAATGATATAAAATTTTATGGGATTCCCTGATTTTTTTTTCGGTGAGAGTGAGATGTTAAAAGGAAATAAATAATTGCACAGGATGATAATATTCGTAATTAATAATATGAATGCTGTCGTGAGAGAGAGAGAGAAGAAATTTTTAATTTAATTAATGTCTTTGCCTTTACCGATCGAGAGACGACTTGCCAAAAAAACGTCAATAAGATTTCCCTTTTTTTTCTTTTTTTTTTTTTTTTCTTTTTTTTTTTTAATATAATTTGATGTCAATCAAAACAATTCGGTTCAAAAGTTTTTTTTTTTATTCCCCTCATTTTTAGGACGGAAAATATCTGTCAACAGAATTGATTAAACGCTTACGGGAAAAATTTGATTCCAAAAATCTTTTTGCTCCGGTTCATAAAAGTTTAACAGATTTTTTTTTTTCTTTTAATCTTCTTCTTTTTTTTGTCAAACCGTTTTGGATGTTCGATGTCAAAAGTTGATAGTTTTTTTTTTTTTCAAAGTGTGTTTGGTTTTTAACGCTTTAATTTTTTTTTCGTCGGTTATTTTTATTTCGTCTGGTAAATAGTCTAATTCGTAAGTTTTTTTCTTCCATTTTTTTTGTATTTTTTTTTTCTCAAGCGGTTAAATTTTTATTATTTAACAATAATTAGATATAGAGACTAATCGATTAATAATTTTTTCGAATAATTTTATTAACGACTTTGTATTATTATTATTATTATTATCATCATCGTAACAATTTTTTTTACAATATTCGTTTGTAATATTAATTTTCCGATATTATTTGTTTATGCGTATTTGTTAACGAAACAATTGAAAATTTTCCGAAATTTACCGAAAGATGGCAGTAAAAATCGAGTTTTCTTTTTTCTTTTCTTTTTTTTTTTTTTTTTTTTTTTTTTTTTGGGCTATCTCGAAACGCATTTGCAAATTTTAACGTCTCTCTGCATGGTTTTAAATATATTAAATATTCGCATGTTGGCAGCACTTGCTCATCATCATGAACGCCGACTTAATTTTGTTTTGTTTTAAATGACCTTTTATCGTTCCATTTTTTTTTTTTTTCCCCCTAGAGTTATTCATTAAAATGCTTAAAATTTTCACTCCGAATTAGGAAAAGAAAGAAATTAAATGATTTGTTTGGTCGTCGGTTTTTAGTCATCGTTTTCTCGGTCGTTGGAAATTGTCACGCTCGTTTGTCGTTGTTTGCGTTGCCAGAATTTTTTTTTGTGCAATGTCCGAAAATTTTCCATATATACGTTAAAATATTTTTTGTGTACGGTGATCACACGGGTTCGATTAAAATATATATTCGGTCGGTGACATTGTCGTGATTCTCTTCTAAAAAAGAGACAGAGAGAGTGAGAGGGAGAGAGGAAAAGAGGGAGATAGAAAAAGAACAAAAAAAAAATAGTTTTTTTGTTTTTGTCAAATCATGCGAAAAATTCGAAAATGGCTTCCGACGGATTAGAATAATTATTATTAGTTTTTTTTGTTTTAACGGTTGGTAACCGTGTCACGTTAATCTCGGTTACGTCGAAAACTGTGTCAGGAGGGAAAAAAAAAAAAAAAAAAAAAACTTTTACGGATTCCTAATTACCAAGACGATCGCGAACGAATGTGATTTTTTACAGGTAAATCCTTGTCACCCCGACATTTTGAAAAAAAAGGGGGGGGAAAACGTCATTTTTTGTGATTTTTCGTTCTATAATTAAATTTAGAAACGTTTTTAAGGTTATAAGGAATCATTAGGGAACAAAAAAAAAAAAAAAAAAATTTCAAAGGTAACCACCAATTTGTTGATCAAAACAAACCGATATACGAAAAAAAAAATATTCAAACCTTTAATTGTCATCAATTTTGCGTTTTGACAATCGAGAAAGTTTGTCCATTTAAAGCCAATACGAAAAAAATTTTTTTAAGGGGGAGGAGGTGGAGGAGAGAAGGAAGGGGGAGGGAAATCAAACATTCGACATATTGGCTAAGCGTTGACTGAAAATTTCAATGTGCGTGACGGTTGTTTAAAAAAAAAAATTTTTACGGAAGTCAACACCATATGTCATCGTTTGGAAAAAAAAAAAAATTGTTTAAACATTACTGGAAATGTATTTGTTTGTTTGTTTGTTTGTTTGTATATTTAATTTTTCACCTGGAAAAAAATTTTTTTTTTTTTTGCTCGATGGAGAGAACAAATGAAGTATTTATAAATGAGGATTTGTTCTTTGTAATGTTTAAATGACGTCGATGAGGAAAATTTTTATATTTTTTTTTCCAGTTTGTTTAAACGGTTTTCGCAGAATTTCGATTATTATTATTATTATTTGCGTGGGCCATCATCATCATCATCGCGTAACGTTATATTTAATTTTTAAAAAAAAGAAATTTTTTTTTTTTTTTTTTTTGGTTTTGCCAGATTGAAATTTATACTTTAGTAAAATGAGCGTAATTGTACATAAAACGAAAAACGGTTTTTTCTTTCTTATTTTTCTCCCCCCACGAATAAAAAAAAAAACGGAGCCAAAGAAATATTTAATTAGTTTTAATTTTTTTTTTTTTTTTAACTACAAGATTGAAATTAACGCGAGATTCGTCCCCCCCCCCCGCCATCGGTTTCGATGATAAATAATAATAATAATAATACGAAATAAAATGAAACAATTTTTTAATATGATATTTTTTTTTTTACTGTTTGGCATCTAAAACTGAAAAAAAAAAAAAAATAATAATAATAATAATAATAATAGATTGTCCCTGACCCATTTTTTCCAGTATGAAAATTTTTTTTTTTTTTTAAGATGAAAATTCTGCGGATTTTTGACTTTAGTAAAAGAAAAGAAATGTTAGTTTTTGATATCATTTTATATTTATTTTAATTCTTTTTTTACCCCCCTCCCCCCTCGCCATTTCTCTCTCTCTTTTACTTTACAGCATTTTCAATCCGTTTTGTATTCCTGGAAAAGCGTTAAACATTAAATATGAAAGCGAATAAAAAAAATTTTTTTTTTCCCCTCCCCCCATTTGTTTGACTCCATTGGGAATAAAATATTATCAGGATGAGTTTTTGAGTTTGTCACCACTGTATCACTTGACCCGTCAGAAAAAAAAAAAAAATTTTCAAGCGACTTTAAATAAAAATTTGATGGTTGGCGGAAAATTTTTGGGAAATTGTCGAAAAATGGCCGTTTTCTTCCTTCCTTTCTTTCTTTCTTTCTTTCTTTCTTTGCTCTTTCATTTTTATCAAATTTGAAAGTTTTTCGTTTTTATGTATGGTTTGAATGTGTGTGCGTGCGCGTTAGTGAAAAATACGCGAAGAGGGAAAAAAATGAAAAACAAACATTTGTGAAATTTAATAAAGAAAAAAAAATGATAGCAATTAAGATTCGAAAGGCTAATTAATTAATTAAAAAAAGGAAAAAAGGAAAAAAACGGAAAGGAAAAGGGATGGGGGAAGGTGTGGGGAGGGGTGGGAACAAAAGGTTCGCTTTCCCTCCGTGAAAAATTATAATAAAAAATTAAATTTTTTTTTTTTTTTTTTTTTTTTTCATCGGAACGAAATGGCGAAATGTTGAAATATTACGTAATTTTTTTAAATGCCTCCCGAAAAAAAGAAAAAAATTTTTTTTGATGAATTCGGGATTTTTTAAAATGAATTCGGGATACGGGATTTTTTTTTTAAAAAGTTTTGCATACGATTTCCGGTGTAAAAAATAATTACTTGCGTTTTGTTTTTTTCCAGTTTACAGGGTGAAAAGTAATGAAAATTTTCTATCGTTTTGTGACAGTTTAAATGAAATTTTCAAACGTTGCTGCTGCTGCTGCTGTCGTTGTTGTTGTTATTATCTTTTTCTTTCGGAATTTGAAAAATTTAAAGAATTTTCATTTTTACTTTTTTTTTTTTTTTTTGTCGTTTTATTTCTGGAACCGTTTCTGAATACGCTTTTTATATATATTTTTTTTATGTTGATAATTGACGCGCATATATCGTTCGTTCATTTATAAATTTGCCTCACACACGGTGGGATGAAATTATTTTTATTATCGTCATTAAAGTTAGTTATTATTATTATTACGGCTGTCATTTTTATTATTATTATTATTATTATTTTTAAAAAGGAGAGAGCGGCGGGGTAGAGGGGAGACGTACCAAAAGCGTGGCTCGTTAAAATTTGGCAAGATAAAATTTAAAAAAAATAAAAATAATTTTATTGTAACAACATCATCATCATTTTCAATTTGTTTTAATGATGATAAATCAGTTACTCGGCGTCAAGAATTTAAAAAAAAAAAAAATTTATTATTGGATTTAATTTAAGATTTTTTTTTATTTTAATTCAATGAAAAATTGAATAATCGGTCGGTCGTATCATGTTTGTTTGTTTGTTTGTTGTGGCATTCGTTCGTATAAAAAAAAAGAAGCTTTTGAATTAACTTTTTTCTGTTTGGGGGGGGAGGGAGATGAGAGAGAGAGAGAGAGAGAGGAAGGGGATATGAGGACGACGAACGATAGGAAAATTTTTTCTCTTGTTTTTTATTTTCCAATCGAATGATATAATGAAAATGAATCAAAGAAAAATAAATAAATAAATAAATAATGATGAGGGAAATTTTTTTCTTGGCGAGGTCGTGAACGCGGACATGTTTTTTTTCCCCGCACAAAAAAAAAAAAAAAAAAATTTTAAATCATGGCGGACCTTTTACAGAAAATGGTTTTATTATTACTTTTCATTTTGGCTCATTGATATTTCCTTCTGTTGATGAATATTTTCGTAACATTTCCTTCGAATCGAGATATCGAATTGTCGTCATTTATATCGAACTCTCGGAAGCTCGCGGTTTTGAATCAAATTTAATATTTTCCCCATTTTTTCCCCTTTTTTTTTTTTTATTATTATAAATAATATTTGGGCCGAAATTTAAATAACGTATCGTTCATCAACATGGCGACGTAATAATAATCATTTTGTGAAATGTAAAAAAATTCAAAATTTAAAATATTATAAATTGATAAATTGATATTGATAAAAAAAAAAAAAAAAATCAAAATAGGTGAAGGGGAAAATTTTGATAACCCAAAGAAAAATAAAAAAATATGCTTTGGCAAAAGTGCCGTAGGTCCAAAAATGGGAAGAGAGATGGTGGACGGAAGCTTTTGGGTCGAATAACATTGATTATTAAATAACCAAATTAACTTGGTTTTCCATTTGATTTCATATTTATGTACGGATTGTGCCGGTCAGCGTAATTTTCTTCTATCGGAGATTATTTTCGTAGTCAATTTCATTTTTCTAAAAGTAGTTCATTGGGCAGAATATATACAATCTTTGAAAAAAAGAGAGAGAGAGAAAATTTCTCTCTCTCTCTCTCTCTCTCTCTCTCATTTTTTTAATTCAATGTTGTTACTAATAAAATAATAATAATAATGAAGAAATTTTTCCGATCCCAAAATAATTTTTTTTTTTTTTTTCTGGTTACCATCGAAAAAAAAAAAAAAACGAATTTGAGATTTTTTTTCTACACAGGTCTCTTGACCTACATTAAATTGAAAATTTATTTCGTTCCGAGATTGGAAAATCTCGAATTTTTCCAAACTTTAAATTAATTAACGAAATATCACTAAAATTCCAGGCAGGCGGAAAATCCGTGGAAAATTTTTTTTTTTTTGATTGCCAATGATGACTTCTCATCGGAAAATGTTTGTTTGTCTGTTGGCGTGTGAAAGAGGAAGATTTATCAATTTCGAAATTGTCTTACCTGTTGTTGTTCTGTTTGTCTTGTGATGATGTTGTCGCGATGCTGTTGTTCCTGCGGGTTGGCAAATACCTTTTTCGAAACTGAATTTTTTTTCGATGTTTCAAATCGTCTCGTAAAAATCTGGCAGAATTTTCAAATGATTTTTTTAATAATAAAAATGATTATAACGTTTCTCTCTCTCTCTCTCTCTCTCTCTCTCTCTCTCTCTCACTCTCTCTCGTTTTTTTTTTGCATAATAAATTATATGATGATGATGAATGACGTTCTCGCGACTTTCGAGATTGCACCTGTAGTTAGAATTTTTCGTAAAGAGTCATAATGTCGGAAAATTATTTTTAAAAAATATATACAAATATACGTTTCGACCTGTTTTCGAAAAAAATAAAAAGGGAGGGGGGGAAAACATACGTGTAATACTAATTTCGAGTCGGTTTATTTGCACGGACGGACGATTTATATTTAAAAAGAGAAAAATAAATAACGAATCAAAGCAAACGATCCAAATGATTTTCTGGCAAAAAAAAAAAATAAATAAATAAATTCAAAAAGAATCGAAAAAGGTTTTTTTTTTTAAATGACAGAAATTAAAAATTGTCTCGCGTCGGGATTTTAAGTTATTTATTTATTTATTTTTTATTCATTTAACGTAATAAATGTTAAGGAGGTTGAAAAATAGAAATAAAAAAAATAAAAAAAAAGATTTAAATCTTTAAAAAAAAAAAACAAGAGCAAGGGCATTTAAAAAACAAGCAGAAGAAAAAAAATTAATAAATAAATTTTTTTCTTCTGCTTACTTACGATTTTACGAAAATAGAAAATTTCGTCATCGTAAATTTCGATTTTCCTCCCGATCGATTTGCTATGTGTGAGAATGAGAGAAAAGAAACGAAACGTTTTTTCATAAATATTTTTAATAAAGGCCCCCCTCGATTCACACACACACACACTCACGACGCAAAGAAAATTTTTGCAGTTTTGCGACGACGAAAAAAATATTTTTTTTCTTTCTTCTGCTGCGGATTTTTTTTTTTTTTAAGCTAAGAAAAAAAAAAAATATTTTGGCAACGCATATGATGATGATGATGATAATGTTTTTTTTTTTTTTATTCTTTTTAACCTACTGAATTCGATTTCGTTTAGTTTTTTTTTTTTTTTTTTTTTTTTTTTAATATTCCCGGGTTTTATTTTTTTTTTTTAATTTTTTTTTTTGCCGCGTTATTTTTAAGTGTTTTGATTCGTGTTGCGTTCCAGTCATTTTTTCTTTTTTTTTTTTTTTTGACATTAAAAGTCTGCGAATTCATTAAAAAAGAAAAAGAAAACAAACAATATTTATAAATTTCGAAAAGATTTATTTATTTGTATATATACATGTTAACGAGTCGATTTAAAGTGTCACAGTTTTTTATTTTATCGTGAAATTGTTTTCGAAAATACAAAAAAAAAATGAGAAAAATATTTTTTTCGATTTCGAAAAAAACAAGAGTCTGAACTTTTTTTTTCTATTTTTTGGTCGGCGAAATCACGATCGGTAATAAAAAAAAAAAAATTTTTTTAAAATGGGTCTCGTGATATCTATTTTAATTGTTTGCGTGGGTGTTATTGAAGCATTTAGTTGCTTCGAGCATTTTCAAAATGGTGTTTTATTATCAACGAACATTTACGAAAACGTACGTAGAGGTTCGACTATTTTCGAGTACACAAAAAGTAAATTTAAATTATTTTCGAAAGGAGGAGAATATAAATTGAATAAAACATTTGTTTCCTTCGACGAATCCATCGTTCGAGATTACGATGAATCGTTTTCGAAACGTGAAATCAAGAAAATCACCTCGTCGGAGAGAAAACCGAATAAAAAACTTGAAAACTCTGAAAAAATCGACATCGTCAAAAGGCATTTGGATCAGCCTAAAAAGGGAAAAGTATCCCGTTCGTATAGCATGCCTGAATATGTTCCCACGAAAGAAGATTTTGAAATAAGTAAAATATTAAACGAACTTGCCATCGAAACCATAGAAGAAGTTAACATCGAAGATGAAGTCGGTGATTTAGACACGGAAGCTGCCGCGAAAGAATTTGATAGCTTGTTCGATAATGAAAATGACGATAATGTCGATGAGAAAATTATTCGGACGAATGTTTCCCACGAGGTTGTCAACGCCCCGACGACAAAAGCCAAGCAAAATGTCGGAGCATCGGTTGGGGATAAAGAAGTAAATGCCGTTGAAAAAATTTTGGCGGAAAACGAAAGTCGCAAATCAGATTTGACTGATTTAAAAAAATCACCTAGTGATAACAACAATAATAATAATAATAATAAAACCGTCGACCGAGAAACGATTGACGATGTGCAAAATAACGACGATGTTGAAAGACCGAAATCGATTAAAGAAAAAATTTCATCGTTCGAAGTAAAAACCATTCCCAGTTTAAATTCTTCTAATTTGTTAAAATCCGATGGATCGATAATTTCTGCCGTTGATTTAGTCAAAGAAAAAATCAATGCAAGTAATAAGAGTAATGTAATAAAAAATGTCAGAAAAGAGCCTGATTCTAATAAAGCAAAACAAACGACAAAGTCTATTAATAAACCGTCAGCTGATACATCGATTCCCTTGGATAAATCCATCAATGAAATTTTAAATAATACGAGGAGGGAACTCGAGGACGACAACAACAACGACGGCGATGATGATGATGATGTCGACGAATCCGTGGACGATATTTTTGAAAATATTTATAGCAGCCTTGAAAACGTCACGCAAATTCAATCAGACGAATTGTATGACGTTGGCACGAAATCTTCGGTCGTCGTGACAAATTCAAACGACGTACCTGATTCGATTGAAAAATCAGAATATTTGCCAGAAACGCAGGATCGTTTTCCTGTTGTAAACGATGATGTCAAATGTCAAAATGAAAATACGTCAACAAACGTCGAATTCAACGACGAGCCTATTTTACGGGTTCACCAAGAGTTGGCAGATCGACTTGTAAATGAATGTTTCAATGATATTCGCAGTTTACTCCCAATGATTACATCAATAATGACAAAAAACAATGGGTTCGTTGATAATGATAAAAATGAAACGATTAAGATGCCATTAGAAAATTCAAGGCCGATGGTAAACGTTCCCGAAAACAAGGTCTCGGAAAAAGTAAATAAAAAATTAAACTCTAATTTAAATGAAAATTTTTCCGGGTCGAAAATCCAAGAAATAATCGAACCTGATGATGAATGCAATGATTTAGACAAAACTATTGAAGGGTCCAACGAAATTATGGATAGTTTAACCGAAAATGCCGACGATACGGAAAATAAAATCCCTAGTAAAATGGAAAAAGAAAATGAAATCGTTCAAGGCGAGAATTTACTTAAGGAAAAAAAAGAACCGGAAGTTAAAGATGAAGTAACGTTAGAAAATGAAATCGTGAAGGAAAAAGTAAAAGAAGAATTAAAGGTAGAAAAACAAATGGAAGACGAGGGGATCGTGGAAGAAGAAGTTGAAGACGAGGAAATTGTGGAAGAGGAAGTTGAGGATGAGGAGATTGTAGAAGAAGAAGTAGAGGATGAGGAAATTGTAGAAGAAGAAGTAGAAGACGGGGAGGTCGTGGAAGAAGAGGAAGTAGAAGACGAAGAGATCGTGGAAGAAGAAGTAGAAGATGAGAAGATTGTAAAAGAAAAATATGAAGACAAAAGAATCGTTGAGAAAGAAGAAGTAGAAGACAAAAATGTTGTAGAAAATAAAAAATTAAAAGACAAGGATAATGCGGAAAAAGAATTAGAAAATGAAGAAATCGTCGAGGAAGAAGAATACGAAAATGAAGAAATCGTTGAGGAAGAAGAATACGAAGATGAAGAAATCGTCGAGGAAGAAGAATACGAAGATGAGGAGATTGTAGGAAAAAATGACGATGATATTAAATTTGAATTAGAAAAAGAATTTAGCAATCACAAAGAAACGGAAAAAGATAAATCGATCGTGGAGCCAAAATTACATAAAGAGGAAAAAGTTGTTTTAAATTCGTCTAATCCTGAGTTAGAAATGATTACCGAAACAGAAAGAAAAGATGAAAAAGAAAAACAGGAAGAAAAAAATAAAGAAACGACCGATAATTTACTAGAAAAGAGACCCGAAGAAAAAAAAGATGAGATGGAAGATGATGAAGATACAGTCAAAGAAAAAAATGATAACAATAATGATAAGACCATAATGGAGGAAGTTATCAAAAATGCGCACAAGATTCCAGCGGAGATAATTAATTTAGAAAACGTAACTGCTGAACCATCATCACAAGATGAAAACTGCGTGAAAGATGATTTTTCTAATTTAATTTCTCCGGAAAGCTCACGTGACGAAACGACAACCGGAAAAATGGAAAAAGCATCTGATGAAATTAAAAATGATTTAAATTCGGAATCAAAACAATCTGAAAAATTAAACGTTGAAAAAAACGGTGATGACAATGTGGAATCGACAAAGACGACTGATAAGGCAACAGTCGAAGAAGTTTGTATTTTAAAAGATTCCGTGGTTTTGGAAAAAGAACAAGACATTTCATTGAATTCCATACCACGAAGTTCAGATAAAAAATCGGTGGAAAACATGGTGGAAAATAAAAATGGCGACAGAAAAATTGTAAATTCAATCGTGAGCAAAAACGATGACGAGAATCCGAATAAAAACGAATCATTATCATCATTATCAACGTCAATCAAGTACGAAACATGCGAACCTGAACGATGCGAAGAACCTAAAGCATTTTGGGTAAGCGAATGATCTTCGTCCGCCATTTTGTTGTCGGAGGAAAACTATACGTGGATGTGCACTTCTCTTATTTTTTTATTTTCTATTTCCACGTTTTTCTTTTTTTTTCTTCTTTTCTTTTGCAAGGCTTTTCAAGCCTTTTTTTTTCTTTCTTTTGTAGGATGTGGAACGTAATAACGAAGTTAATTTATCAACGAATGATTGATTTCCGGATGATGATAATAATAATAATACAAAGAAAAAAAAGCACGAACGAACATGCCGATATTTTAACTAAAAACTAATTTTTTTTTTTTCATTTTTTTTTTTATTTTCTTCATTAACTTTCCCGGTTTCGAACGGTTAACCGCGAAAGCATTTCAAGCATTCGTCAAGACATTTAACGACGTGCTTTCCAGAACGTTCGAACGGATTTTATTTTGTTTTTGATGCTTTCTCGCATTGACATTGAAAATTTAAAAATAAAAAAAAATAAAAGGAAATAAAAACAAAAAAAAAAAAAAAAAATATTTCGAATTATTTTTAAACATCCTGTGTTGTTGCGTCACAGGTTTTCTTTATCATCATCATCATCATCATCATCATCATTTTTTTTTTTTTTCATCTTTTATCACGACAAACACGCGCGCGCACACACACGCACACAGTCTCTCTCTCTCTCTCTCTTTCATTTCCTGTCTATTTCTCCTTTTGTCTTTATCTTGTCTTTTGGGAGAAAGGAAATTAATTATAAACTGATATATATTTATTTTTATATATTTTTTAAAATTTAAATTTATTTAATTAATGACTAAAACTCTCAATCAATCATCTCCAGAATTTTTGACTAAAGGGAATTGGAGGGATTATATTTAATCCCGTTTTTAACGACCGATTATTAATTAAAAAAAAAAAAAAAATTAGATACGTTCGTTATTTGAAAAAAGGGATATTTTTTTTTTTTCTGACGGAAAATGCCGAAATCCTTTCAATAACTTTGTCTCTCTCTCTCTCTTTCTCTCTCTCTCTCTTTTATTTTTAAATATGGTTTGTAGTGATTAAATGATGAATAAATCTAATCCGGATTAGAATGCATTTGTGGTAAAATTTGTAACGATCGGAAAAGGAAACGAACTTTGTGTCACTTTTTGGGTTTTTTTTTTTTGAGAATAAATAATAATGATAATAATAATAAGAGATTGACTGAATGACGTTACAATGGTGAGAAAATAAATTTCGTTGTAAATTTTACCGGAAGTAGTTGGAGAATATTCGATCGAATCGAAGAAAAAACGTTAAAAGGTGTTGTTAAATCGCTCGATGGTTTTTTCATTTCCTCATACCAAAAATTAATTATTATTATTATTATTATTATAGTTAAATTTGGAGAATTTTAAAATGGCGTCAATGGTTTACTCGTTAGGTTATTATTTTTTTTCGACTGGAAAAAAAAAAAGAAAAAAATTCTTCGAGTTTTTCCATCCGAATTCGAATACGTTGTGGAGTTACCCGCGGTTAATGTTTTCTCTCTCTCTCTGTCTCTCTCTTTCCCCCCCCCCATATTAATTATCAATCGTTGATTAATACGTGTAATTAAATTCGATGATGATAATAAATTTATTAAAAAAAAAAAAAAAATAAATGATACCTGTTTTTTGTAAAGGCACCGTAACAATTTTTTATTATTTTCTATTCCGTTAAAATTGAAATAAATGGAATAAATAATGGTTCGGAATAATAATTATTAAAACTTATGCGATCGTGTGTTTGACATCCTTTTGAAAAATGTGAAAAAAAAAAAAAAAAAATGGCTGGAAAAAAAAAGAAAATGTAAGAAAATGGTTCGAAACGTTTGAAAAGTTTTTATTTGATTTTGTACGTACGTGTTCGGACGGAATGTATGCGCGTATATTAAAACGGATTTTGTTAACATGCGGGATGATAATATAGAAATGATATGGGGAGATCGAAATGGTGTGTGAGTGCGTAACGCGGTCCGATCAAATGAGAAAATATTATGAAAAAAAAAAAAAAAAAAAATGAAAAGAAACGAAAAGAAAAAAGAAAAGAAAAAAAATTAATTTAATATTTTTTCGGCGAACTATTTTTGGGTTGTTGTGACGAGCCAGCGGCGAATCGTCACTGACGTCCTGTCGGTTCGATATCTCGTTTTAAATTTTAATCCTTCGTAAGCTAAAGATTCGAGTTGAAAAAAAAAAAAAAAAAAAAAAAACAGTGTTTTCGTCTCTGTTCAACCTTACCAATCTTTCTATTATCCTTCTCTTTCTGTACACACACACACACACACGCGGCTGGATTTACGATATACCGAAAATTTATTCCGAGAAAGTTTTTTTTTGTGTAAGCGAAATAGAATTTTTCGTTTTTTTAAAAAAAAATATTAAATTAAATAAATTTTTTCACACGCTCACGCATATACACATACACACGCACAAACGAACGCACGCACATACACTCACGCGGATACAAAAAAAGAAAACAAAAAGAAAAAAAAAAAAAAAAATTAATAATTGTAAAGTAGTTTTGTTCAGTGTTTGCTCCGGTGTCGAAGTGATTTTAAATTGTAATTTTTTTTTTTTTTATTTATTTTATTTATTTAATTTAATTTATTCAATTTAATTTTATTTAATTTTTTTTTTCGAATTTAAATTTAAATTTAATTTAATAATAATAATCATTATTGTTATTATTATTATTTAAAATTTTATTATTTATTTTTATTTTGATGATTGTGATTTAAAAGTGTCGTCGAAAGGAAAAATAATCGATTGAATAATTTTTTTTTTATTAATTAAAATTATTTAATTGATTTATTATTATTTTAAATAAATAAAAAAAATTGTAGTTAGTTGTAGTGTGTGTTTATTTATAATAATAATAAGTCGATTTAATTTTTATTAAAAAAAATTTTTTTGCACACGAAACATCGATTCATTAACTTTTTGGTTTTTTTTTTTATTTTTTTTTTTTTAAAGGGATTATTTGTTGTTGTCGTTAATATTTGTTGTCGGTTAAAAAAGTCGTGGAATTAGGGATTGACATTGAAAATAAAAATTTTCAACTTTTTTTTTTTCGTTTCGGAAAATCGGAAAATCGTAAGGAAAAGAAATAAAAGAAAAAATTTTGTTTTTTTTTTAAAAAAAAATTCGAACACGAATAAAATGTAACATTTGTTATTAAGGGTTTATTGACGAGGGAAGAGGGGACGAGGGGGGAAATTTCGTTTCCCATATGTTTTACTTTTTAAAATTGTTGGAATTATTCCAGTTGAAATTATTATTATTATTATTACTATGCACAAAATCTATTTTTATCTTTACGGTTCTGTAACTTTTTTTTTTTGTATATCTATAACGTAGTTAAATGTTAATGAATCGATTTTGTTTTGTTTACATACACAAAGTTTTATTTATATATATATTTTATTGTTTTTTGGTTTTTCTCTTGCGAAATAATAATAATAATAATAAAACGAACGGTCGATTTTTTCAATATGTTAAATTTTTCATTTGCCACCGAATCATACATAAATTAAAATATATTAATTACACGTTATTTTGCAAGAGAAAAAACACCACGGTATTAGTATACGCACATACGCACACACACACACAAACTCATTATTCATCACATCATCTTATTTAAAAATTATTTTTTTCATCCCGTGATCATCGTAGGTGTTGATACAAATTAATACGTAAAAAAAAAAAAAATAAAAGAATAAAAATGGCGGACGTTGACGTACAAATGCAAATAACGGAACGTAAGGTTCGAAAAGTGAAGAAAGTCACGTCGAAAAGGCGCGAAAGTACGGATCAGAATTCTGATGTAACTATCACCGAATTGGACAAGGAGAACAGGGCACTCACCCACGACCAGGGGTATATATTTATATATATATAAATGCCTGATTGTGTTGTTTCGGCATAATTTTTTTCCTTTTTTTTTTTTTTTTGTGAGCCAGAATGGGGGGAGGGGAGTGTGAGAGAGAAAGAGAGAGAGAGGGAGAAAAAAAAAGGAAAAAATTTGCCGAACGTTTTATATAAATAAATGACAATCAGGCAGTACCCCTGGTTTAATTTTTTACGGTAAACATTTTAATTACTTGGCAAAATTAACAATTTTTTTTTTTTTATTTTGCTTATGCGTCTCCTAATAAAACAAACAAACAAACAAACACATTTAAAAAGGTCTGAAAAACTATACAGAATATTACTGACCCTGATTACCGGTTTTTCAATTTGATTGGAAACACGAAAAATTTTGCATAAAATTTACAAACAAACATGATTTTTTTTTTTTTTTTGTTGCACTCCCATAAAATGCCAAGCGACAGATTATACAAGTCTAAACACATTCCCGAACCTTTTTTTTTTTGGCTAAATCAATTGATAAGAAAGAGGACAAGAGGACATGAGGGTGCACATGAAATAAAATAAATCTCAAAATCAGACTTGTAAAAAAAATAAAATAAATTGTTGCGCCGGATTTTTTCTTTTTAAATATGCTATAACCAAAGAGAAATTAATCAATTTACGAATGATTTCATTTGTAAAATTCAAGCCAATTGATTTTATTTATTTATTTTTTCTATTAAAGAAATAAAATTAATAGTTATTTAATTTAACATGAAAATAAATTATTTGTGCTTGCTACAGTTGTTGTTGTTGTTGTTGAAACTAATTAATGTGTGACTTTGGGAAAAATCCGATGATTCGGACTCGTTTGTTTTACGATAAGTAATAATAATAATAATAATAATAAAATTTTTTTTTGTTTTTTCCAGCTCATTTTCAGCGGTGAATATACTAAGGCCATGTCCAAAGACTGGCACAGCGGTCACTTTTCTTGCTGGCAATGTGACGAAGCTTTGACCGGTCAACGTTACGTTCTTAGGGATGAACATCCTTATTGTATTAAATGCTACGAAAGCGTTTTTGCCAACGTTTGCGAAGAATGCAATAAAATAATTGGCATTGATTCTAAGGTGATTATCATGTGTGCCTTTTTTTTTTTCAAATTATCTGAAATTGAGGTTTTAAAAATGAAATGATCGCATTTTAAATTCATACACGTGTAATAATATTTTTACAGGATTTGTCGTACAAAGACAAACATTGGCACGAAGCTTGTTTCTTATGTAACAAGTGCCGCGTGAGCCTCGTCGACAAACAATTTGGATCTAAATCCGAAAAAATTTACTGCGGAGGATGCTACGACGCCCAATTTGCATCCAGATGCGATGGCTGTGGTGAAATATTCCGTGCAGGTAAATTACATATTAATTTTTTTTTTTTTTTTACCTTCGAAAGGTTAAAAATTGAACCTTTCACAACTGATTTTAAACGAAAGAAGTCACGTTTTAATCGTTTTCATCGCCATCATCAAAACAAACAAATGCGAAAGCAACCTTTTGCACATGATGATGATGATGATGACAATGAAAGTATGTATATGACCTAAAAACGCGACCTCTATCTAAAACCTTTTTTATTTATGAAAACTCCCCCCCCCTCACCGTGGAAAAAAGGAAAAATCTTTTGTCTTTCTTTCCCCTTTTTTTTCTTTTTTTTTTTTTTTGCCTTTTTAATATAAAATGTCAGCGAAGAAATTTTAGAAAAAAAAAAAAATGAAAAATCATCGGCACGCTCGATGAAAAGATTTTTCTTTTTTTTATGAAAAGATTTTTTTTTTTTTTTTTTTTGTTCCCGTTTACCTTTTCGATAAAATAGAACAAGAAGTCCTTTTTTTATGTCACCGTTATATTACCCGCCATGATGACAAAAGATTTTCCTTTTTCCATTACCCGGGAATTGTGCATGCGAACGAACGAACACCCACGATAATTAATATTTTACTTAAATCCGGATAATATTGTCATTATGTAGTCGGAAAAGTAGGACTGTATGTTGGAAATATCTCGTCAAAAAAAATAGGGGGGATGGGGGGGAGGAAGTTGCTATTTATGTTCATATAAAAGCGCCATATTGACGAATGAAATTTTACATTGAACAATAACAACATAATTTATGTTTTTATTATGTTTTGACGAATGTTTAAAAAAAAACTTAATTTGTGTGAGGGAGAAAGGGTTGTTGTTGTTTGTTGTTGTTGTTTAAATAATTAAATTATTTATTACTCCTCGAATGATTTTAAAAATAAAAATCCATTAAAAAATTTAACGGGGGAGGGTGGAGGGGGATGAAATGGGGGATTTTTTTTGCAATGCGGCAACGTCTCGTATAAAAACTTCGATTTTCTTTTTTTTTTTAATGCGATAAAAGTCAAGGTGAATAAAAAGATGGTTTTAAATAATGTGTTACATCATCAACCGAATTGAGATAGGCAAGTTTTATACGTAGAGAGAGAGAGAGAAAATTTCGAACTTATTTATAATGTAAAAGATTAAAACAAGCAACTACCAAGGAGAAATTTAAAAAAAACATGTTGGAAAGAATTCTAGATATATTTTTTCATTAAATTTTTTTTTTTTTTTTTTTTTCGCAAAAAAATGGCGGACGGTGATGTTGTACGAATTTTCTTTTGGCTAACGTTTTTTTATAATTAGTTGTTTACTAATTAATTTATTTTTGGAAAGTTTTTGTAAAAACAACAACAACGGAAAAGTCTGTTGTTGTTTCTGTTGTTTTTATTATTATTATTAGAAAAGCTACAATTCTTTGATTGTTTTTTTAATTTCTTTTGTTATTTTGCTCGTATTGTTTTGCGGTAAAAACAAATGAATGAATGAATGAATGAATTGTGAATGATCCATTTTAAATTTTCAAACGGAAAAAAAAAAAAAATTATTTACGAGGGGAAATTTCGAAAAGTTGGTAGGAGTGTTTGGTGTGGGGGGGGGTAGGTTTAACATTAAAACGAGTTGTGCTTTTGCGCATTGAAAAAAAAAAAAAACATTTTAAAATGAAAATTTTTATTGTTGCCCCTCGTGGAAAAAGTAATTCCCAATCCAAGAGATCGAATAGGCTCAGGTATGAATTGTGTGACACTTTGTGTCTACCTTGTTTTTCATTTCCTCTTCCTTTATTACGTGACCGCACCTTTTTTGTCGTCCTTAATTAATTCCGTACTTATTGAAATAATTTCGATTTTTTTTTTTTTTACGAACGTAATCGATCATATTTCGATTTCGGAATTACCCTTTATCCTCAATTATTTTTCCATTCTTCCCCCGTTTCGATCACGTGATTAATATTTAGGTTCGTTCCTTTTTTTTTAAGGTTTTCCCCCCTCGTGATAAACGCACACATGGAAGTCTAATTATAAAATTGGAATCCTTATTTGGAAAATAAATAGGTCGATTTAAACTAATTGGGACAATTACCTCATTCGTCCTACGAGTTTTAAGGTTACAATTTCAGGTCTTTTATTATTTTTGTTTTTCCTAAGGAAGTATAATGTGAGGCTTCCAGGCTGGAAGACAAAAGCAGGCGTGAAAATTCGAAATGATTCCAGAAATAATTAATAATCGTTGATATAATTCGAAAGACAAAACAATGCCAAATTTGAATAAAATAATTTTTTCAATAACGATCGTTACTCGTCCGAAGGTTCTTTTTATTATTAATTAAATAGAAGGATAAAATTAATAATGATAATGATTTTAAAATCAAAAAGATGGATTTACGTGAAAGTAAGAGTAAGAAGAAGAAGAAGGAATTATTCGGTTGCAAAATAAAATCGACATTTAAAAAAAAAATTTTTTTTTTAGGCGCGATTTAAAATTATTTAATTATTTAAACAATCGTAGAATGGGGTATGAAAGGCAGGCACATGGAAAAAAAAAAAAATGGCGCTATCGCCCACAGTTTTTTTTTAACATGATTTGAGTCATCGCGAAAAACGAGTCTGAAACCACGAACTTGGATTGGAAGGTCTTTCGACAGTACTTAAGTCTCATCCCACGGTATCGTACCTGAGTTATACGATTCATTTGTCTCCGCGTGAATGTTGCATACAGGTGTCGTTTTATTTTCATCGTTTGTTTTTAAAAAGTTTTTCCACAATTGTGTTATTATTATTATTATTTTCTTCGATCGCGGCGACGACATAAAAAAATTTAATTTTAATTATACCTGAATTTGATTCGGATTCATTTTTTTTTTTCTGTGGTTAATCTTTTGTTGCGTTTGAAGTTTCGTTTTTTTTTTTTTTTCAAAATGACGGATTACATAACGAATAAAATGGAAAAAACGTTGAAAATAACAAAAACGAAAACGACGGGAGATGATGAGATACGAAAAGCAAAAGAAAAAGGAGAAGATGTCGCAATTTTATCGACTTCTTTTAATCCCGATAATTACACGAAACCTGAAAAATTTAATTGCGCATTGGGTAGGCTTTGCCGATTGGGAGATTCGACGAAAATTACGCCAGGTACGTTCATTAGCGAACCCGTACTAAACGATGTATTCAATAATAATAATAATAATGAATGCGTTGATTATTTTTCGAGTCTTGATTAATTTGACGAACGCGAAAAAATAAATAAATAAACACGAAATGCCGCGTTTTCTTCTGCTTTTTCTTCTTCTTTTTTATCATTTGGAGAAACGTTTGACGTGAAAATTAATTTAAAATCGTTTCCGGTTTTTTTTTGCGGGTGAAAAATGCGAAGAAAAGTGTTTACGAATGAAAAAAAAAATTTTCTTTTTTTTAAAATAACCGGAAATAACCGTGTTACGTGAGAACTTTTTATTTTTTGACCCTGATGTTGTTGGGGGGGGGGGGGGGAAGTGGGAGGAAAGGACCCCCCCCTATTAAAATTGCGTACGAACTTGTAAACAAAAAAAAAAAAAAAAAACGATAAAATTTCCCGGGTTTATTTTTTATCTACGACGACATTTTGAGTTTTTTTTTTTTTTTTTTTTTATAATTTCGAAAGGGAAAATTTGATAAAAGTTTAAAAGTTGCAAAATATAAAAAAATGGAAATTTAATTTATAAATGGAGGTGGCGTTGGTGTCAAATTAGAATTCAACCGAATTTTTCACTCGTTTTCCTATTTAAGAAAAATTATTAGTAGATAAGTTTATTGAATCCAGTGGGATGATAAGGTCTAATCTAGGTCTCCATATTTAGTTTTTTTTTTTTTTTTTTTTTTTTTTTTTAATCGTCGACGTCGATTGAATCATGCGACGAAGGTTGTCTGCTTACTGTGTGTGTGTGTGACGAAGTTCCAACTTTTTTTTAACATTCTTCTCTTTTGCCTGAAATTATTGTCGTTTTGATAAGAAAATGCCTTTTTTATAATTGAAGAAAAACATTGGGGGGGAGGTAGGGAAGGAAGGAGGATAGATGTCAAGGCTTACGAAAGGCGTAGTAGAGAAAAAGGGGAGGGAAAAAAAGACAAACGTGCAATTTCCGAAATTGCATATGGCGAAAAATCACTAGAAAATTAAATTATTATTATTATTATTACCATGTCGTTCATTTGCCGAAAGTGATTTAATGAAGAGGAGGATACCTGTTGCTTTATAATTAAGGCATTTATTTGGGGAGATGCCAGGAGAAAAAAAATTTTTTTAATTTTTCACTCTTTTATTACTTTAAAAAAGCGTAAGCGGGTGGGGAGGGGGAAAACGGAAACGAATGATTTTTATTGTTATTATTATTATTTTTTATTTTCAGGTACGAAAAAAATGGAATATAAGACGAGACAATGGCACGAAAAATGTTTCTGCTGTTGCGTGTGCAAAACTCCGATCGGTACGAAAAGTTTCATACCGAGAGAACAAGAAATTTATTGTGCTACCTGTTACGAAGAAAAATTTGCGACTCGTTGCGTCAAGTGTAACAAGGTACGTGGCGACAGATTTTCCGCCCCCTCTCTCTCTCTCTCTCTCTCTCTCTTTCTCTCTCTTTCTTTCTACCTAAAAATTTATTATTGTTTTTCACGGAAATCGTTTTTTTTTTTTTTTTGTTTAGATCATCACAAGCGGAGGAGTGACGTACAAAAACGAACCTTGGCATCGCGAATGTTTCACTTGCACGAATTGCAACACTTCACTTGCTGGACAACGATTTACCAGCCGAGATGAGAAGCCATATTGTGCCGATTGCTTTGGCGAACTTTTTGCCAAAAGATGCACTGCATGCAGCAGACCCATAACCGGTACGTGAATGAAATAAATTCTTGAACAAGAATGGTGGTGGTGCGCCATCGTCGTCGCCGCCATCACCATCACCATCACCATCATCACCATCACAATCACAATCATTCCAATCTTTCCTTCTTCGTCTTAACAAAAAAATCATGACCGGAGATGATGCTGAGATTTTTTTTTTTTATTATTATCTTGTATCTCTCTCTCTCTCTCTCTCATTAATGCAAATTTGATTTTTCAAGGTTTTCTCGTAAATTTTTTCTCTCTTTTTTTTAATAATAATAATAATCATTTATAACATGTACGCGATGGAGAGAGATTGGAAAAAGAATTGCATTTTTTTTTTTTCTAAGGCACGAGAAAAGAATACTAAAATAAGGTACGATGACGTGATAATGATAACAATCTGTCGTTTCACGTTTTGAGAGCTTTTTCGACTTTGATGAATGAGATTATTTGTTTTTCTTTTTCTTTTTGGTACGAGAAGGTGATAATTAATGTGGGTACTTGTACGTGTTGGCTGACTTTGCGAAAACCGGTCGTTGTAGTATCATACCTTTTTTATCATCATCATCATCATCATTCCTTTTTTTTTTTTTTTCTTTTGAAATGAATAAATAAACGTCGATGTTCTTCATTATTAGTATTATTATTATCTGTAATTTTTTCTCTTTAAGGTATCGGAGGCACAAGATTTATTTCATTCGAAGATAGGCATTGGCACAACGACTGCTTCATTTGCGCTTCATGTAAAACGTCCCTCGTCGGACGAGGATTCATAACCGATGGTGACGACATTATTTGCCCCGAATGCGCCAAACAAAAATTAATGTAATAATAATAATAATGTTTATAACGATAATGATAATAATAATAGTAATAAAATCGTGTCCCACGAGTGCGCAAAAAATAATTTATAAAACCGTGTCGTCATCGTCATCGTCCTTCGTCTAAATAAAAAAAATTTAAAAAAAAAAAAAGATGAATGATCGAACCGCCTTACGAATAATATTATTATTATTATTTTCAATATTATTACTAATTAATTAATCAATCAATCAATTACCGTTTCGATAAAAGAAAGAACAAAAAAATTTTTTTTTTTTTTTTTAAATAATGTAACGTTGATTAAAATCTATCATATTTTATTTATTTATTTATATTTATTTATTTTTAATAATAATAAAAATAATTATTATGCATAGGAAAAAAATTAATGAAATAATAATAATAATAATATTTATTAATAATATTAATAAAAAAAAAAAAATTATTGTGGATTGTTGTTGCCTTTTCATAGGAGAAAACGAACCGATAATAAAAATTAATCGATCGCTGTGTAATTTTATTTTACTATCATTATTATTATCATTATTATTATTTTCTTTTTGTCTTTTGCTGTTTATTTTTTTTTTTTTCATTTTTTTTTTAACGCGGTGTATGATATATTTTATTATTATTATTATTATTATTACTATTACTATTATTACTACTACTGTACCATTATTTATTTATCATAAATTAACACTTTAATATGTTGTTATTATTATTTATTATTATTATTATTGCTGATAAAATATCTTATCATAGTGAGAGACAGAGAGAGAGAGGGAGGGAGAGAAAGAGAGAGAGAGAGAGAGACGGAGGGAGAGAATGTGATTCGTTTAAAAAGGGAAAAAAAAATAATAATAATAAATTGCTAAGGTAACGCAGCAGAGCTTCTTATTTATTTATTTATTTATTTTTTACGCTGTAAAATTTGTCATTATTATCACATATATAAAATAAGCTTACGAGAAAAAAATAATAATAATAATAAAAAGGAAAAAAATGTTAATTAATTTATTTATTAATAATAATAACCCTTATTAATTAGAGCACTGCCAATATAAACAAATTATATTTTAAAAATGGTGCCTTATTATTTTTCTCTCATTTCTTTTTTTTTGATTTCAAATTATTATTAATTATTATTATTAATAAATTTTATTTATTATTAATATTTAACTTTTATTTATTTATTTATTAATTTTTGGAACGATTTCATTTTAAATTTAAATTTTATTTAAAAAAAAAAAAAAAAAAAAAACAATCGGACGAAAATGACCGTTTATTATTATTTATTTTGTTTTTGATTACGTCATTTTCGAATCGAAATTGATTGATCGGGGGGTGGGGAGGAGGGAAATGGGGGGAGGCGTTTTCTTTTTGTAAGAGAGTATGTAAGTGCGTATGCACGTATTTTTATTTTAAATTAATTAAAATAAACGTTTGTTTTCGTTCAGCTCAAAATTTAAATTTTTTTTTTTTTATTTATTTTTTTAATTATTAAAGAAGCTCTTTATTTAACTTATTTATTTTATTATTATTATTATTATGTTAAAAGGTTGAAAAATTTATTTATTTATAAATAGAGTAAAATAATAATAATAATAATAATATCAGATAAATGATTTGCCTTAGTACAACAACAATCTTTTATATAGAGGCCTTCAATATATCAATTTTTTATCTATCTATATACATAATATAATTTCTTTCTCTTTTTGTTGCAAATGTTTAAAAAATTTAAGTGACTTATTATTAACACACGTTATTTATTATAATCAATTGTTATTTTGTTTTTAATAAATTTAAATAAATATATATATAATAATAATAATAACGATAAGTTTTTAAATTTTTTTTTTTTCTGTTGCTTTTTAGTCTATATTTTATTGTTATTACTATAGCTTAATGTTTTATTTTTATTTTTTTTTAAATTTATTAATGTAATATATAATAATAACCAGATTATAGTTACATAAATAAATAAATAAATAAATAAATTTTATTTTCAATTTTATTTGCAATTAATTTCCGTCTAATAAAAATTTGATTGGTTTTAATTTGTTTTTTTGTTTTTTTTGTTTTTTTTTTTTTGTTTAAATGCTGCGGGTTTTTCCCGCCAATTTTTTAAAATTTAAAGTACGATTGAAATTTTTTAAAAAATTTTTAATTAATAACAATACATTATAATTAATAAAATTATATTATTTTTTCTTTAATAAACTAATTATGTAAAAAATTAAATTAATAAATAATAAAAAGAATTACATAATTCGAATTAAATAACTTTTTTTTTTAATTTTAATAACAAAATTATTATTATTATTATTATTATTATTATTATTAATAACACAAGTGAAAAAAATTAAACAATTTCAACAACATAATAAAAATAAATAAATTACAACAATATATTAAATAAAAACAACAAATAGGCTTGAAATTTATCAACAATAACAATAAATACTGATAATATTTTTTTTTTTTTTTTAATTAACATTGAAATACTTTTGACCCGGAAAAAAATATAAATAAATAAATAATAATAATAATTATTATTATTATCACTGATATGAAAATCAGGGAAATTACAAATTTTACTTTTGTACATCTCATCGCCATCTTCCACGAATATAAAAAAATTTTTTTTTAATTTTTAATAAAAAAAAAAAAAATTCGCATCGCCTCACAATTTCGTTCACAGCCCCCAAAAAAAAAAAAATAAACAAATTTTGTCGTTAATTCCAAGATGGCCGACATCTTCCTTTTGCATCTTTTTTATGATTTTTCGGACATTCCTGTGATCTCAGGGGTACTTTTATTATTTCAGCCGTTTGACATTTTTTCTTTTCCTCTTCCGGTAAATTTCCATCGCATTCGAATTTTCCTTTTTCTTTTTCTTTAACGACGTGATGAATATTCGGTGGTTGACCGGGTAGATTCGTATATTTTATCCTTTTCTTACACGTACCCAAATTCATTAAGTTAAAAACAAACAAACAAACGATCAATAATTTTATTATTATTATTTTCTTCATTGTTATTTATTTAAATTAAACCTGAATACCTGAAATATATAATATAATACCTGAAAAAGGTAATAAAAGAAAAAAAAATTAACAATTATTACTATTTTTTTGCGTAGGTGCAAAAGACGAACGAATTTTTTTTTTTTTAAGTTGTACGACTTCTTTTGCCCTCTGCCCCACTTTCCTCCCCTATCTCTCCGCAACCCTTTCTCCCCCTCCCCCCAGCTTAAATCAATTAAAATCTATTATTACGTAAAAAAAAAAAGAAGAAAACTCGTAACCGTAAATCGATATAATTCTTCGTTTTAATTTAATTTTATTATTTTAAAATATATTTATTCGAATATTTTTCCGAGCGTATATTTTTATAGCTCGAAGCTATAAAACTATAATAATCTATTTATAATAACAAACAACGACTATAAATTACTATAAAAAGACAAAAAACAAACAAACAAAACCAGTTTCGTTAATTAATTATTTACCTTGACATTGATAATTTTTTTTTAAACGAAAACGTTTAATTTTTTTACTTTTTTTTATAGCGCTATATTTTTTTTAAATTTTGAAACATTTTAACGGATTTACAAATTTTTATAGACTATAAATTCAAAATAAAATTTTTTTGAAAAAATTATTCGAAAGAACAAAAAAAAAAAAAAGAATTTTGTCTTTCGAAATGTTTTTTTAACGGTTGATATAAATTTAAATTTAAAAAAAAAAAAAAATTTTTTAATTGCAATTTAAAAAAAAATAAATAAAATTTCCTACGTGAGTCAACCCCTCCCCCTACCACCTCCCCACAAAAAAAGTAGAAATAATGATAATGATAATAAATGTCTTTAAAGTAGAAAATCCTATTTGAAAAAAAAAAAAAAAAAAAAATTAGCAAAGGAGTAAAATCCAATTAAAGCGTTTTAAATTCGGGTTTAAATATTTTTTTTATTTCAGTTTGTTTGTTGAGTTTGTACGAATTTTTGTTGTTTGTTACTGTTACTGTGGTATTATTCAACAAAAATAAATAAAAAGTTTCTATTTATTAATTAATTAATTAATAATAATAATATTCCATCATGTTAGCTCTTATTTTATTAACGTGCGTTGCTGCTATAAAAGTATTTAAAAAATCAACACCAAATGGTATTAACGACGCCATTTTTTTTTTATTAAATCGATTTTAATTATTATTATTATTATTATTATTATTATTATTATTATTGATTTTTTTTGTTTCAAAGGTAAAATTACGGTTTATTTAGGAAAACGAGATTTTATCGATCATTTAGATCACACGGATCCAATTGATGGTATTGTCGTGGTTGAAGATGATTATTTACAGGGTAAAAAAATTTTTGGACAGGTACGATAAGGTTTCATCCCCCCCCCTCTCTCTCTCTCTCTCTTTGTTATCGAATTATAATTAAAACAATTTTTTTTTCCAGCTCACTACAACCTACAGATTCGGTAGAGAAGAAGATGAAGTGATGGGACTTAAATTCAGCAGAGAATTGATATTAGTTAATGGACAAATCGTTCCAGGAAATTACGATAAAGAAAATTTAACACCCGTACAAGAAAGATTGATAAAAAAATTTCCGACGAATGCATTTCCGTTCACTTTTAAATTTCCGGTAAAAACCAAAAAAAAAAAAAAATTTATTATTTACTTACTGTTAAATTACGTTGTCGTAATTAATTAATTAATTTAATTTTTTACTTATCCGGGTCAATGTTGCTAATGTCACACTTTTACTAACGTTTAATGAAAAAAAAATTATTAATTTTTTTTTGCGCGTTGTTTATGTTGTTGTTGTTGCCGTTAATTTTAGACACACACACAACAAACAACAAACAAAAAAAAATTAAACTTTATTAGGTCATTAATTTAAAAATAATAAATAACGTCGTGCGACCTTTAAATATAAAAAATTTATTTATTTATTAGGCTTTCGAAAAAAACGATTCGTACGTTCGAACGCTTTACCATTGACTAAAACTTTATTAATTTTTTTTTTTGTTATCATCACATCGAAATTTGATAACCTTATCAATCGTTAATAATATAATTTAAAATTATATTTATTAGTAATAATAATAATAATAATTTTTGTGACCCTTCGTCTGATAATTTTTTTTTTTTTTTCGAATCGGGTTTTTTTTTTTTGTTTAAATTTTTTCGTCAAATTTTATTTTTAATTTTTTCCCACGTAATGATGATACCCATAATGATGATGATGATAATAACTATTTCGAAGAAGGACGATCGGTTGTATATTTTCTCTCTCTCTCTCTCTCTCTCTCTCTTTTCTGTCTAAATGATTAATTTTCTTATTAATGATGGATATTTTATAGGCGGGGTAAAAAAAAAAAAAAAAAAAAAAAAACGTTACAAAAATATTATCTTGTTCGTGATATTTTTCCTTCCCCTCAACTCATGTAAACCTTACATAATCTAAAATTTATTTTTTTTATTTTACCTTGAAAAAAGAAAAAAGAAAATCATAAGTCTTTTCTAGACAGTTTTCATTTTTTTTTACACTTAAGGTTAATTCTCCAAGTTCTGTAACGTTACAACTAGGTGATGGAAGTACTGGAAAACCACTCGGAGTTCATTATTCAATAAAATGTTTGGTTGGTGATAATGAAGAAGAAAGAGGACATAAAAAATCAACCGTTTCTTTAGTTGTCAAAAAGGTAACAATATTAAAAATTTTCTATAAAAAAAAAAAACCTTGAAATTAAAATAATTTTTAAAAACAGTTACAGTACGCTCCAGTGATTCCGAGTAACCGCCTCCCCAGTCA